TTATTCAAAATAAATGAATCATTTAAACTATAAATACTTCTGTTATAATTAAGTTGATTTATCAGCTTGTGTTTTTTATTTTCTTTAGAGAATAAAAAATACAGAAATACAATAATTACATCTCGAAATAAAATATAAGAAGAAGTTTGTTTTTTTTATAGATATTTCAAATAAGAGAGTTTGCTTTTAGAAGAGAAAAAAAGAAGTTGAAATATTTGACCGAGTTTGTTTTTACTTAAATTCTAATCTCGATTAATGAATGAGAAATAAAATTGGTTAAGAAATGTCAATTTCAATGTTATGGAAGAATAAAATGTCTAAGTGATTGATTTAATGGTGGTGAAATAGATGAATGTTCAAGTGTTTGTTGATTAAGACCACCAATTTGTGATGAACAAAGACGTTTACGTATTCTATTTCGACATATTTGTTTTAATTTAAGTGGTGTTGAAAGTATTGTTGTTATTGTATCAATTTCATCTGTTGTTTTATCAAAATGACTTCCTAAATCTTCTGTAAATAATTCAACAAGTTCATGATTTGTTAATGTTAATTGTTCATTCTCATACATAACATGAATTAAATTTCGAAGAATACTACCTACAATCAATTAATTAATTAAATAATAAAAAAGAAAGAAAGAGACCTGTATAATGTCTATCAAATTCATCTTCTTCCATAACAGTATCTTGATAATTTCTATTAAACCAAAGCCAAATATGAACAAGTAAACTTTTATTATTTGGAAAAGGTTGAACAAATAAAGATGGTAAATCATAAGCAATAACAATCCAAAAATTAGATTCAAATCGACGAAATGCTGATAACGAATTTGTATAAAATTCTGTTAAAGATTTTAATGATGAAAATCGACATTTATGACTTAACATTAATTTTAATGTTTCTTCTCTATATTCAAATTGATAATCTAAATTATTTAATAATTTCCAAACAATATCTAATGGTGTATGACCATTTAAATCAATTGCATTCTCTTCACATTGTCCTTCTTCTAATAAAAGACTTATGATCTCAGTTGAACATTTTTCAGCTGCAATATGTAATGCTCTTCGTTTTGTATAAGGTTCAAGAATTTCCATATCTAATTTTTCTTTATAATTAAGTAAAATTTTAACTAATTCAAGTGAATCTTGTTTTATAGCAATATGAAGTGGATAATGAAACATTCCCATATCTTGTGCAACACGTGAATGCATTTCACGCATTTTTATTTTATGTTCATGTTCACTTTTTAATGAACTAAAATAATTATCTGTTGCACTTGGTTTATCTGTTAGATTTCCATTGAAATTTAAATTAAGAAAATATTCAACTAAACGAATACGTCCACAAAAACATGATAAACAAAGAGCATTTAAACCCCATGGTCTATTCAAAAACAATAGAAAATATAGAATTATATTAAAAAGAAATAAATTTTCTTTTACCTTAATTTATCTGTATTTGCTCCATGTTCAATAAGTAATTTAACACAAGCTAATCGATCATGAATAATAGCATAAAAAAGTGGTGAACGATAATCAAACATTGTACCCGAATCCGATGATTCATTATCAGATTGATAATCATCATCATCAGCATCATCAATTAAATCAGCTGATTGTTTTGAACTATGTGGTAATGGACGATAAACAAATAATTTATATTGATTAATATCAATTGTATTCCCCGATTCTAATGCTGATTTTAATCCAGCATAATCTCCATCAATACATAATTCATGTAAATCAATTAACTCATCTTTATCACTGGGACCTGACATTATTTAGCTTTTTTTTCTTTTTAAATATTCTTTTCTTTTCTTTCTATTCCAAAGAAATAAAT